CCCCAAAACCCCAAAACCCCAAAACCCCAAAACCCCTATGACACCTTTTATAATTGTAAAATTTAAATTAAATCTTAGCCAAGAGCATGGAAAGAAGACAACAGATAGTTAAGAAAATGAACACAAACCAAGTTACAGAAAATGGGTCTTTGAATAATCACTCAAGGAGACATACTAGCCGGAAATCTGCTAATAGAAACTCAATGAATTGGCCCACTGGGAGATATAGAATAGACACTTTTCGGAAATAATAACCCTAAAGAATTGAATACATTGAGAACTAGTAGAAAATTTAGAGTAAATGCTCTCCCTACAGGAACACTAAACTTGACTGGGAAGATTAATGGGATCAGCCTCAAGACAAAAGTCACCGCTGATACAAAATTATTCAAAATTAATGACAATAGCAACTCTCGTATTAGAAAGAGCTATGATAATACTAATAAAAATGTTTCTTTAAAGAACTTAACTACTTTGAATTCTAAGAAATCAATGAGATCTCAACATAGAAGCAGGAAATCAAAAGGTGAAGACTTCACAATCCAAGATAAAAGGAAAAGAGACTCCAGGCTATTTAATCAAGGATTCGGAGGAGCAGCAATTAAGCTCAATTTGAACAACACTGGCATTTCTCTGAACCCTAATGCTTTGAAGAACTTTAAGCTTCCTGTTTGAGACAAACCCTTGAGTAATAAGGCTAAAATAGTGAATGACAGCTTAATGAACTCAATAAATTACAAACCATCTGACCTAGGATCTAACCATTTTAACATCCATAATACTGTAGAGACAGTGAGGGGAGTCAGTAGAAAAGCCAAAAATAAAGTACTTTACAGCTCCAGAATCAAAGAAGACTCTAAAACAATGAATAGTGCTCGTATGGGCAAGCCTATCCGCTTGAAAAAGAACTTAAAACGATTGAATAATAACAATAGATACAAGGTCACACTTCCAAATGGAGAGGAGGAGTATAAAGCCAAGAGTCACTCAAGGAATAAATCTAAGAGAAAAGAGGAGAATGTCAATACTTCTCTTGTAGTTAACAGAACCAATGTGAAAAATAACTTCTTTAGAGACAACACAAAAGGATTCCCTCAAACTAGTAGAGTTCAGGGTCATAGGAATGGAACAAGCAAGTTGTTGAATTCACTTGGAATGAAGTCTTCTAGCCATAGACCTGAAGACCACCGGAGTAGGGTCAAGCCAATGACCAATAAAGAATTACAGAAAAGTTCTAAATCTGGAGATAATAATTTAAATGAGTCTAAATCAGAAGTGAAGTCTAATAATCTAAATAAGCCTGTTTTAAAGACAATAGATTCATCACCAGCGAAGAAGACATTCAATATCAGTGCTACAAATGACTTGAAGAAGACTTTAAAGCAATTAAAATCATGTAGATCACCTAATTCAACTACATTTACAAATCCTCAGGCTCCTAAAACTGCTCAATCTGAAAAGCCTGAGTTTCCTTTGGGACCTGGAAAAGCACTGAAATTATTCATGAGCAACCTAAGCGATTACGAAAAGGGAGAAATTCTTGACTATCGCCAGATCTATTTTCTTGGGCTTGAGAGTAAGAAGATAAAGGCAACACCAAAGCTCAAGCCAAATTATGGCTATGACAATGACAAAGGAGACTATAAGACTATACTCAGAGATCATATCGCTTATAGATACGAAGTGATCGAATTTCTCGGCAAGGGCAGCTTTGGTCAAGCACTAAAGTGCTTTGACCATAAGACCAATGAATACGTGTGCCTAAAAATCATCCGTAATCAAGAAAAATTTCAATACCAAGCAAGTGTAGAAGTTAAGGTTCTTCAGCACATCAAAGATTGTGACCCTGAGGACACCACTAACTGCATAAAAATGAAGGAATATTTTTTGTTCAGGTCCCATGTTTGATTAGTTTTCGAACTCCTCAGCATGAACCTCTATGAGTTCATTAAAAACACAGATTTTAGAGGGGTATCGATGGGGCTGATCAGGAGATTTGCCATCCAACTTTTGCACTCATTAAAATTTATTCAAGAGCAAGAGATAATACATTGAGATCTAAAACCAGAGAATATTTTGCTCAAAACACCAACTAAATCAGGAATAAAGATCATTGATTTTGGAAGTAGCTGCTTCATGGATGAGATAGTGTACACATACATCCAGTCAAGGTTCTATCGAGCTCCAGAAATCATGCTAGGGATCCCATACAATGCAGCCATTGATATGTGGAGCTTTGGTTGTATCGTTGCAGAACTTTACTGTGGTCTCCCTCTCTTCCCAGGTGAGAGCGAAAAAGAGCAGATGAGCTTGTTGATAGAGATCCTAGATGTTCCTAACGATCAAGTTATAGCAAAATCTCCATATCGAAATAAATTCTTTGATAAGCAAAATAGAGCCTTTATTATGGATAACATTAAAGGTGAAAAGAAAATACCTGCTTCTAAACCTCTCCCCTTGATGATAGAATGAGATGATGAGCATTTCTTAGATTTCATTGAAAGATGACTAGATTGGGACCCAGAGACTAGAATGACTCCAGATGAAGCTCTCAGGCATATTTGGATTTTGGAGGGACTTCCTGAAAACGTTCTTTATCATCATTGAAAAATGTATGAAATCCCAGAAGATGCTGTATGTTTTCACCATAATTCTTATAGATCCCTGATTTCCTGGATTATGAAGGCACAAATAAGCGATCAAAGAAACGGGATAAAAGGTATTCATCTAAGCACCTTTCAATGACTCAAATATTTTCCAAAAGCAGTCTTTCTGGAAATAAGATTTCCTTATAACCATAAAGAAAAGCTTGTAATTCAAAAATAATTGTCATTATTATCCATCCTCATTGGGGTTTTGGGGTTTTGGGGTTTTGGGGTTTTGGGG